GTGCACTGTCAAGGACACAGAATATATAGAAGTAAATAATTATACATACAATATACACTTCAAATAATGTCCCTTCTCATATAATTTGTATTTGAATAATTAAAAACAATTTAATATAAAACATCACTTCTTCATTGATGTGCTGCCAAGGCCATTGCCAGATGAATATTAATTTACAACTGACCTAGAAAATGCATGTGACTTGTTTTCAGCGGGGTTTAACGCCTTTTAAATGACCCAGAAGGAACTCATTCAACCTCTTTTAAAATTTTAAAGTCTTTAAAAACTGTTTTTGAGCACAATATTGTCCACAAGACCCTTATGTACCTTAAATTACACATCAGGACAACTGGGTGAATATGTCACTGAGTTATGTTTGACCCACAATTACTGCCTGTAAAACTCTTCTGTCAGGGTGTACACTTTGGTAGCCCAATCTTTACTGTTTAGTCTAATCTGAGTATTTTTTACAAACAGACAAAAACAGTAGGATGTGATTCATGCTCCAGTTGTCTGTGGGTTCTGTCCAGTTATTCTGGTTTCGTCCCACAGTCCAACACCTTCTGGGATTCAGTTAACTGTTGACTCTAAACAGGTAGTGCGAGTGTGAAAGCTTGTTTGTCCACCACTATGAACAGAAACTGTTGGATTGGCCTCGGCTTCTCTGTGACCTTGACAAGAATTAATTGTTAGAAGAAGAATCCAGTACAGTTTATTTTACTGGTTAAAATGAATTAAACCTAAATCCTTAGTTATTTGAAGAAAGGTCGACTTTGCTTCCTGTCCGAACACACCACCCATGATGTGAAGTTTGTTTGTTATTTGCTCACCATAGTGTAAAGGTTTGTGTGTATTTATTTTGTGATTAGTCACCAGTTTTACAGTAAATACTGTACTGACTAGGTCTAAAAATATCCCAGGTGGAATGTACGATTTCTTCATCATGATATAAACTGTAAATGCTTCAAACCTCTATTCTACAGATTTTTGATTTATTTTATCAAATTGAAAACAAGTGTCCACAACAGACTCACTCTCTGTCAGCAACAATTAAAAAATCCTTGTTGTGTTTAAGGAAGTCAAAGACAGTCCAGGACTGTCACCACCTGCAGGTTTTCTTTTTTTTTTCTTTTTTTCAAAACTATTTAGGGAGTCAAAAAACAATCAATGATGCATAAAGACTAAGTACTAGAACAGGTGGTAAATGGGCAATGACCTTTGACCCCAAGGTGGTGTAGTAAACCACTATGTCTCTGTATTGGACATATTACCATGGGCTTGAGACTGCATTAGCGTTGTTGTATCAAAAACATTGTCACTCAAAATATCTTGATATTATGCATAAACAGTATGTGACCTTGATAGGCCTGCCTGCAGTCCAGATCTCCTTTAACTGAAATGTCATAAAATAAAATAAAATAAAATAAAATACAATTTTAACTCTAGAAGTTCAGTAAAGTAGTAAATGGTATATTTATTAACAGAATGACAGTATAAAAAGCTGTGCCTGTAAATACTGTAAGTGTATATGTTATGAGAGTGGGCTGTGTAACAGTAGGAACAGTATGCAGTGATAGCAGGATTACTATAGGATTAACAGAGTTGAGCTGCAGTTAAAAAAGAAGAAAACCAGACCAGTGTGACCACAGACCACTTAACAGCTCAAATGCAAAAAAAAAGTTGCAAAACTAGAACAAATTGTACAGTCAGCAACTGTGACCCAGAGCGTTACCTTACAGTTGAAAGCCACAATGTCTGAAAAACCTTAAATTTTAACTGCTTAAGTGTGTTACTAAATCACTGTTATTTTTTTTTTTTGTGTGTTAATTATCCATAATCTGTTTGTCTTTTTCTACTAACAGTTACATTTTGCCTCAACAAGACTTTAAAGTATTAGTCAAACTGATGCATGTCTGTACATTTTCTCTTGGTTAAATCAGTTTTGGTGAAATTTGACATCTTTTGTCTGTGTCTTTTTTGTCACTGGTGGGATTGAGTAAATGCAGACCCTGGGAACGTGATGTTGATTCCCCTCAGAACAAGCCCATCCTGCTTTACTGCTGTAACTCTGTAAGGAAATGGTGAATAGAAGGAGAGGGAGAGACCCTATTGAGAAGAGCCTTTCTTTACATCGTAACTTAACTCCATTTCTTCCGCTATAACACCTTGACAAGGAGAATCCCTCCAAATAATGGGTTGTGCAGGGACACCATTGCTGCGGGCTGCATCCCTGTAATTGCTGAACCCTTCCTGGTACTGTGCGAACGGCAGTTGAGATGACACGAAAATGGGCGAGGCTCCAAATACACACACGTTGCGGGTTCCCCGCCCACAGACAGCACATGTACAGACACCAGAATGATAGTACTTTTTAATGTTTTTTTTAAAACCCACTAACTGCTCCTAAAAACATCTAGGAAATTTTGTTTTTAAGAATTACATTGGTTCACTCCCGGAGGAGCATGCTCTGTGTAAACTGTAAAATAAGGACTAGCATGAAGCACAGAGAGGTGCGCGCGCACACACACACACACACATACACACACACACAGTCTCTTGGCAGATGGCGAACCATGAGGTCGACAGGGCTGTAAAACAAGCCTGTTCTCTTTGTCCACCTACGCAGCACTTTGCACAGTGTGTCTATCAGATGGCAGCGTTTATCAAGGTGTGGCTGACACCGGCTCCACACAAACCTCTGTTAAACAGGAAAACAGGAGGCCTGTGTCTAACAAGTGGCACGGCTGAAGGAACTTCAAGGCCAAGCTGTTCACTCTTACTGCAGCCATTTTACACACAGCTCAGGACAGTAACGGGGACATTTTACATGGTGACTGTTGTTTACTTATGTTGGATGTGTAACATTATATGAGACATACGCATGTGAAGTGGGGACACCTACAGTACAGCTCTTGATCTAAACCAGACCAGAGAGTTGCCTGCTGTGTTGACAAAGATCTTGGCTGTGATAATGCTCTTAAGCCTTTTACTATGTAGCTGGACAATGTTTAGGGTTAAAGAACAGCAGCCATTTTTACTGTGTACAATCTGTGAGTGGTCAGAACTAAAGTTGCTGTTCAAGCCTTGCCCAGTAAGTCACCACATTTCAAATGCTTTGGCTTTGTACGTGTCTAACCCCAAGGACGGTTTAGCGTGCATGCTAACTACGCACCACCGTGACGTCACTGATTTCTCAGAAGAGGGAATTGAGGGCCAAGGTGTGGTTCGCAGTTGTCTCTGTTTGATCCTCTAACCAAGAACATACCGGGCCAATCCACTCCTCTCTTTTTCCAGTGATTTAAAAAAATAAATTAAACTTATTTTTAGTATAATTATCATTTAAATATTTTTTTTGTATTTTTACAAAATATTGAAATGTTTTGTGGTTTCATGTAAATTGTGCTGCTAATCCCATTATAGATTCTGCGTCCAAACATGATTACAGTAAAGTGAACCACTGCAGTGTCACCAGACAGTATTTGTAATTACAGTACGTGAAGACGGAGCTGCTGACTCTCGGAGCTGCCAACCTCGGCTCCATTATCAGCAGGGAGAAGGCAGATCATGCGTAATTACCAGTGACGTCCACAACTGTCTGGGTGTTTCTTCCTCAGCCAAGTCACTGAGACTGAAGGTGATTAGTGGATTTGCCATGAGTGCAGACAAATACTATGTTGCTCAACTGCATAGTTGCTTCAGGATTTGGCAGTAGACAGTGTGAGTAATGATAAAGTCTGCTATAACAACCCATTTCAAGAAGAACTGAGCTTAATGAATTCACAGTGAAGTAGCCTTGCCACGGTAAAATGGTTTCCAATCTCAAAGTTACAAATAAACACATAAGTATGAATTGGCAAAATATTTTAATTTTGCATAGATTTCCCTTATGTTCACATAGCTTACAAAATTGTAAATTTAGTAAATGATTTCTGGCTCAGAATGAGACTAAAAAGTATTATGAATAAATGTTCTGTATGTGATCATGTTAGTGGGGGCACGGTGTGTTAGTATAACTTATGTTAATATGTTCACAAAATAGGACTTTTACAGAATTTTGTATTTTAGTCCTGGCTCAGATGTAAATGATCCAGGATATAAAGACATTCTAGAAGCCATTGTGTCAAGAAACAACACCTTGTGTAAAACAAGTGAATCCATTTTGACTGACACTCAGCCTTCATGTTACCATGGATCCGTACAACAAAGACTGACTGTCATTCAATATTGAATGAAGTTTAATATAGAGGCAGAGTGGCCGTGGGACACTTTATCCTGAGTCGTCAGTTTGTCTTCTGCTCAGAGCTGTTGCTGTTGTAAAATTCAGTCAACGTGGGGACCACTGTTGCCAGGGTTTCCATTACCTGAGCAACCAGTGACTGTTTACTGCGGTCCAGTGAGTTTACGTTAAATCCTGACTGAGCTGTAGACAGACTGTTTTTATTATTAGTCAAGATGGATCCTCGGTCTAACGGTTTACTGTTGGTCAAGTGAACTACAAGGTTGAGCACACATGGTGGAAAAGAGTGGGCCGAGTGGGTCAGCATACCCACGTGAGTGAGACGCTGGAGCTGCAGGTAAAGTCTTCATAAGGTCACTGCTCACTTCTTCTTCTTCTTCTTTTTTTTTACTATTAAATAAAGAACTTGTTTGTGCACATAGCGTGTAAACACAGCATGTGGCTCCTTGCATCCAGTGGCAGGGGGTGCTATGAACTTTATAAAGTAAAAGTTTGAATTCCTTGAAATCTGAGTCTGACCATAAAGATTAATTTGTTAATAATAATAATAATAATAATAATAATAATAATTATTATTATTATTATTATTGAACCTGATTATGTTTAGATGGTTAATTCTATTTTACAACATCCTCTATCTCACTGTTTATTCATCATTATTTTATAATTTATTTCTTCCGTCTTGCCAATGTAACGGAGTTATTTGGTGGTAAATCCTGCATATATGTGTCAATACTTTTATTTTGAAATACATTTTATTTTGAAGACGGATACGCTGCATAGTGGGTAATTTGCTGCAACTGGCTGCAGGTGTGTTTCATGAATGTGCACATCGTAATAGTTTTATTTTAATTTTCTGACCCACTGTGTAGCTGAATAAAGGCACTAAATCCATCAGTCAGGCCTTTTTCGTGTAGTTCCAAACACAGCGCAGTCAATTCGCCCAAACAGCTTCTACACTCCTCCGTTGTGGAAAACTTTGCTGACATTTCTAACTTAGTGCCCTGATGGAATGCTGTCTGGCTCCTGCCTGCAGAGTCAGGTACACTGGCATGGAGAAGAAACTTGATGAAGTAGAGCTGAGAGAGGACGTGGAGGAAAACCACTGCAAGGAAAACCAGACCAGAAACACCCCGAGGCATGGTGAACGGTTGTCACCTGATCATGGAGACATGCAGGGGGTGAAACCACAAGATAGACGGGACCAGAAACAAAGGGAAGAGAAACAGACCCTGGAAGAGAAAGAAGGGTTTTCCCACCAGCAGCAGATCAGAGCTGCGGGGTCAGGTGTGTTTGTATATGTTTGTTCTGGGTGTGGGAGCACGGCGTGTGTGCTTTGCAATTATTTAGAATTCATTCAGCATTTCTTGAAGCCAAAATTCAAAAACCACTCCCTGCAACTGCTGTAGCCCACAGATTGTTCAGTGTTCAGTGTATTGTGACTCGGGTCAACACAACAAAATGACTTGTCTCTGAAGGGTTTTAGACAGGTAATGTGCATCGCAATGGTACAGTACACATCTTTACAGTTGTAGAACATATCTTTTTACCACCATAGTCGTATAAATAAAAATGCCTCTGGCTTTTTTAATTTGTACAGATTTGTACAAGCGTGTACAAGCGATTTGCATGTTTTTTCCCGAGGCTTTCAGACTAGATAATGTAACCATCTGTGACACTAGATGTGACTGAAAGTCAGTTGGTGTTGAGCAAAGTTTTATTAAAGCACTTTAGCTTTTTTGTCAAAATCAAACAACACGAGAAAATTGTAAGAAAAATAGCTAATAATCAGCTTAAAAATAACTAAAAGTTCCCTGAAATATTGGACCGAAGAAAAGCAAATTATAGCAAAAACTGCTATAATTTTACAGTCATAAATTCAAGTCAGGTGTTACAAGATAAATTTCCAAGAGACAGCTAGACATCACGTTTGAAGTTTGGACTTTTTAAAAGGTAACAATTTTTTATGGTCTTTATTAAATTGTGCATCCTAAGATATCTGTGTTTGATGAAAACAGGTGGATGTGTGGTGAAGAAAAGTATCAGGTCCTCTGTCAAGGGCGTGTCCAATCACAGCTCCCAGGACAAAGACACAGGACGGCATGGAGACGAGCCCAGGGGACATGGACCTTTTTATTACTTTGGTGGAACCAATGGAGCAGAAATGTAAAAGTAAAATGTATCTAAAGTGGCTATAATATGCAAAATTGACTTTGAGGTACTCTGAAAGGTAAACAATGTGCACGGAAAATTAGAAACACAATAACTGGACCTAGCTGTCATGTCTGCTGAGAGCACAGATGCAGATTTTTGTAAATTTGGTGGAGATCTGACCAGGAATACTGAAACCTGGGCTCATTGGCATTTAAGGTAACGGTGTAGAGAACGCGCCTTTAGTCACTCCTCAGACTAGAGCATGTTACTAACAATGATTTTAGACCAGTGAACCATATCAGTTTGCAGAATTTACCATTTAAGTGATCATGTAAAAAATGTTAATATGGTAAAACTTTAAACTTTTAAAAGCTTTTGTCTGTGACTGTTGCTAAAGGAGGATTGATTATCATTTGGGGTTGTTTTCTCCAGAGTGAGCAGTTACTGTGAGAGCAGAGGCTGGAAGAGGATTTACAACAAGAACAGAGAAGATTTCAAAATCAAGTGGTGTGAGACCAAGTCTCCAGCCGTCTACTGCAACTTCAGAGAAGGTAGTGAGTCTTCAAGAGACACTGAAGAGTTCACCACACCATATTAGTCTGTCTGTATCTCACAGGTGGAGCTGATCATTCATTTTCACTTCGCCTGTCAGTCTGCGTTCAGAAAGACAAAGCTCTCTGAAAACTCTTGTTCTTTTGTTTCCAGGTGAGCAGTTGATATTTCAGATTCCCAACAACAAAGTTCTCACCACTAAGATCGGCCTCCTCAGCAGCCTGCGGGAGTACGAGAGAGTCTGCAGTAAAGTCAACCACGGCCGAGGACTCAGGTGAACTGGACACATGAGGCCTTCACCGTCTCCACCTGCCATTTACAGTACCTGATGTCTTGCGGCGGTGTTTTTTTTTTATTTATTTTTTTAAACAGACAGAAACATGTTTTCTTTTAAGAAGGTCCATGACTTGAACTGAACACAAACAAATTAAAGAACAGGGGCTAACTTTTATATTAACCCAGTTAGCTGGCTCAGTTGGTAAAGGGGTAGTTGACGCCAATTTGATTGTTCTGTGTTCTGGTTGGTGGAGGAAGTTGTAATACAATTAAATGACACATATTCAACAAGAGCTTTCATTGGATATCAGTCACAAAGTGTGACTGATATCCAATGAAAGCCAGTGACTGTATAAAGTCAGTTTTTGTTTACTATAACCACACTAACGAGGTCATATTTGCCTGTAGGAGAGTTAACAGGATTAAATGAAAGATCTGTAATGTTAAATATGAATTCAGCCTGCTTTAACTCAGTGAAAATTATTTAAAAACTATTTAACATCAACATTTTTGTCTTGTAATTTAAAACTACACTTTTTCTTGCATTGAATTAAATTAAAATTGGCTGAGATCATGCAGGTTATATGGGAGCTTGATAACATCATGTTATTGCTCTTATTAATTTACTGTCTTTTACTTACAACAGCTTATTTGCACATAGATAAACATCCAGCCATTCGCACTGAAATGCAATGTAAACTCTTACTCCTCTGCAGATTCATAAGTAATAGGAATATAGTTGATATAGAGCTGTCATACCAGCCCCACTTTTAAAGACAAAAAGGCTTTCACACACTGATGCTGGGGAACCAGTGGCAGGAAGATTCACACCTTTAGTTTTTCTGATTGTCGTCCAACAGGAGGCTGAAGATGGAGGAATTCATTCCCACCACCTTCCGCATGGATGTGAGGGCAGAGAGGGATGCTTTCTTTGTCCAACAGGAGGGTAACCTGCCAAAACACAGCCTGTTACACTGCTGCTCTACAGTAATAGAACGACCTCACAATAGTGTTTCAACTAGAACCATGTTTTCTCAGGCAGAGCTCGGTCAAACACAGCTGTCATGCTCCTAATAATAAAAAAAAAACAAACTGTTTGTGCTTGGCGGTGTTAAGACAACAGTTGCCTTGGTGATTGTTTAATCAAAGGTTGAGGCGTTGGAAAAATAACGCACTCCAGCTCCCATAAGGCCCCAGATAAAATCACCAGGGGAACATGCGGTTTCCATAGAAATAAGTCAGCTGAGGGCAGGACTGAGACGCATAACACCAGCCAGAAACATCATCAGGATCTGGGTGTAGAGCAGCTGCAGGATTCAGAGGAACTGAGACTAAACATAATGAAACATGCAGATATTTTATATTGGATTAAATCTAAAATAGGATGGGGATTAAATATTCACTTGGATCTTTGTTAATTGCTGCAGAAACAGCATATTTACTATAGTGGTAGGTCAACAGCTACAGTACTGACAAACATGGTTATCATTGAGTAAACAGCAGAAAGACAGACAGATGGTTTATATCACTTATGGGTCAATCTGTGAAGGGGGTGTATGTCAGTGTACCTATTATTTATAATTATTACTTTTCACAAAATGTCAAATATATTGATATAACTCTTAATAAATTGCTGGGGTTGTATTGGAAACCAAGGACTTTTTGAAAGCCACGATAAAAACTAATAAAAACCAAGATAAAGTACAGAAATGGAAATTTTCACATAGTTACCAAAAGCATTTTTAAAGCATCTTCTCTATGTTATATGTTCAGAATTATTAGGGCCTAGAAAAGAAACAAATAAGGAGAAGTTGTGAACAGATAAACAAAAACTGTTAGATTAGAGGTTGGCTGTATAAATGTGTGATCATTGTGTAGGTAATACCAGCTGGTTATTTTAAAGCTATACCATGTTTCACTTTCATCTCTTAAACATTTTGCATGTTAAAAAATACCAATACATACATACTAACACATGTAAATAATACATATTTCCAATAAGACATACATGTGCAATATTTAAAAAAAGCAAAAAGAATGGTTCAAATAAGCCAACATTTCTAGCTTGAAATAAGCTAAACATATAACAAAAATAGATAAACAATATTATGTACAAATTTTACAAAAGATAGGAAAATGTTACTGGGAAAATAGAATACTGAACAGAATAATGTTGTTATTCTGAAGTATGTGGTCAACAGGAGGCACACACTTACAGTAGTTTGGCCTGTTTTACTGTCTGTGTGACGGTTATCAGGTGTGAAGAACAAGGAGACTCCTATGTGGATCTGTAAGCCCACGGGTCTGAACCAGGGCAGAGGAATCTTTCTGCTGAGGAGCCGGGAGGACTTGGCTGCCTTCAAACTAAAACTGCTACAGAGGGAAGAGAGTCAGGCCAACAGGAAGGTACATCCCTGTAAGCCTCAGGGTCGCATTGTCCAACAGTGAGTAAATAAGAATTTCCCGCCACCAAATCCAGACATGCTGTAGGTTTGGCCATTGTGTGGCCCAAATTGTCATTCTATTTCTTCAGTTACATCCACAGTCCCCTCCTTCTGCAAGGCAAAAAGTTTGACATCCGCTCCTACCTCCTCATCGCCTGCACTACACCTTTCATGGTCTTCTTTCGCCATGGTTATGCACGACTGACCTGCGACCTCTATGACCCAAACTCCAGCAATCTCACTGCCCACCTGACCAATCAGGTAAATCTCATGTGATCAGAAGAATTTAAATGATCTTCAGTATATTTACATTGTGTGATCAAAGTAAAAAGAACTTCTACTGCAATACTTGACAGGCTGTAAACTATTCATGACAAGTCGTCATAAATTTGACCAAATGTATTGTCATATATAATATATTTCCAAATGGACTGAAGTCACATTGTAAAAGAAAAAGGTATTTTTAACTGAACTCATTACTTGGGCAGAAAAATACTTGGTGCTGCATTTGAGTTGCTAGATATAGGAACTAAAAAATAAGAACTGAAAAAACATGCAATTCTTGAATTTCTGGTTCATGACTTTATTGTAAACGCTGATCTTACTCGGAGAGGGGAAAAAAAGGTTACTTTTCCTGTCAAGCCACAATTACCTACTTAAGTTGCTGCATTCATTTCCAGCAGGCATGTCCAAAGCCAACCCTGGGGGTCAAATGTGGCACTTTTACTTAGCTCTAGTTTCTTTAAAAAAATGTTTAATAGAATTGTTGATGAGTAAATTATACCTTTTGGGCGAGGTAGGGTATTTATTTAATTTAATGTAATTATTATTATTTTTTTTTTTTACCACTAGTCTCCTCTCTATAACCTATAGGAATTAGCTTTACTAGTACAGTTAGGAGTCTAACTGGTTTTTTAGTGTAAAACATCCCTAGTTGTAAAGTGCCGTTGTATTAACTGCCAACAATACACAACAGCTTCATCAAATCTATTGTTTAAAATCCTCCTCCACGTCTCTGATTACTGTGCGTTTATGTCTGTGCTCCCCCTGCTGGTGGTATCCAGTACATGCAGAAGAAGAACCCTCTGTACAGTGAGCTGAAGGAGGACACGGTGTGGTCCATGGAGAACTTCAACACCTACGTCAATGACCGCTTCAGTGTTGCTAAGGGTCTGCCCAGGGACTGGGTCCTGGGCCCCTTCACAGTGAGTCCTGCTGTTGTCGTTGCCTTCAGGGACCAATTAACCTTTTAATGATGCTCATTGCTGCGTATGGATGCAGGTGATATCATGTCTGCATGGTTGTACCTCAGCTGATTAGTAAAATAAACTTTTGTTTAGCAGTAGGGCCTTTTATATTTGTGCAGTGACTAGGTCTGTTAGACAAAAAGCAAAATAAAAATACACAAATTGACAGATGTGTGCAACAAAAGCTTGTTTTTCCTCGCTCAACTACCACCAAGAATACTACAAAAAAATGGGGGTTTCATCAAAATAAACCTGATAAAAATCTCTAATTAGCCAGTGCTAAGCAATAATTAGTATAATAACAATGATTATTTTATTTTTGTGATGAAAATAATAATTAAAATAGAATTGATCGTTATCATTATCATTGTTTTACACCACTATGCCCTCTAGTGGTTACAGCATGTAGCTGTATCTATTTTTGACATCACAGCATGAGATGAGTAATGACTGTGATGAGTTGCTCACTTTGAACATTACACAAATCATTTTTAACTTCTCTTCCAAGCATTAAAATGGGCAATGTCTTTTCTCCTTTTTTGAATACCATCCATCAGAGACGGATGCAGCGCATCATGACACAGTGTTTCTTCGCAGTGAAGTCCAAGTTAGACCGCAGACTTGGTGTCTTTGACCTGATTGGCTGTGACTTCATGGTGGATGAGGACTTTAAGGTGTGGGAAAAGTTAGTTAATATTTTTCTGATGTAAAATGTGCTGTTATTGTAAGTGTTTTGCTAACGAACAGGTGTGGCTTTTGGAGATGAACTGCAATCCAGCGCTGCATACAAACTGTGTGGTGTTAAGGGAGGTCATACCCAGCACTGTGGTGGAGTCACTGGGTGAGCTGCAAACTGCAAATACTCTTTTTTCCATTACAGTAAGTTGACAGGAAAGATATAAAAGAGAAGTGAGATCTGCAATGATTTATAGTTTGGAGACAGTAAAAGAGTCAGTAGGCTGAGCTCAATGTAATGTTCAAGTGTAGGTTGGTAGAAGGTTGGTAGCTGACAACTTTCACAGTTGATAATTTACACGTCGCTTCACGAGCAAATGTGTGACACCACCCATCACACCTCTGTCACATGCCCGTTCTCTTTCTTCCTCTGCATTAGATCTAACTTTTGAGATCTTCAACAAGTGTCGTCGCAGACAGAAACTTCTGCCTTTGGCCAGTCAGAGGGACTTTGTTCTTCTTTTCAATGGAGATTTCCCTCATTGTTCAGGACAGACCTGCAAAAATGACAAAAACTATGAACCCCTCCAGAAAACCCCTCCCAAGATACAAAAGACTGAGAGAAAAAGGTGCAAATCAGGGACGGAAGGCAAAAGTGTGTTTGCTGTATGTCCTGATAATTGTATAAATGATGTGGAAAGTGTTGAGGCAAAGGGTTGTTCAAAAACCAGCAATGAGAAAGCCCCAGCTCCTTCTCAAAAAATATCACCAGATGAGAAAGCTTCACATCTACAGAGCAGCATTAGCAACATGCCAACAGTGAAGAGAAAGAGCCTCAGGCCTCGAGTCAAACCTCAACTGAGCAAATGTCCCGTACATTTAAAGGACACAGGAGTTAGGAGACCATCAAAGACTCAGTCTCATGTCTCATGAGGAACAGGGCATCGTGTCAGTATCATCATCACAACTTAGAGGAGGTAGTGTTGTTTCTAGCTGTATGGAGACTACACTGTTGTGTTTTCAGGTTAGAGTTGCTGTGTGTGTGTTTATGAACACGGCAGATGAGAGGAAGCTGTGGAAAAACAGTTCACAGATGATACAGAAAGTTCACTGTATAAACAAGAAGTGGAAGTGTGACTCACGGGGGCATAAATAAACATGTGATCTAAAATCAGATCAGACACCTGCTCCTGTTTCAGTTTCAAAGAAATGATTCACAAAATGCTCCAGTTCTTTCACAAAGTAGATTGTTTCACTTTGCAGTGTTTATGGGTTAGCGTTAGTGAATCCTTGCTTAATCTAAACTTGAACTTTAAACTTGGATGTTTTTTGGCACAAATGATTATTATAGGTATTATGGATTTCCTTCTTAAATCTTATGACCAGCTTTTGGTTGACCATGTTTGACAAGCATAGTTTCTTTAAAATGAAACTTCAACATTATTTCAGTTGACTAGCTTTAATGTTCTTTTCTTATTTAACCTTTTGCTGCATAATGATACATTTTATGTATATTTGTGGACATTTTTAACCACTAAACTTTTTGTTATTTGGGTAATTACATTTTCTCTTAATGTTAACTTTAGCTACTTCTCTGACAGAACATTTGTTCTTGCAGTCAGCATTTTCAAAACAGTGAGTGAAAACTGAGAAACTACTGCTTACTACAATGTTTTTTGATTGGCTTATATTTTTAAATACTAGATGCAGTCCCTTGTATTATCTGACCTAATGTGTAGGAAAAGCTGAATATTTTCATAAAACTCTGTCCAGAGCTGGGTGGTCTGGATTTAATTACATTGCCAATTAAACAAAAACCATTTGTATGCACTAAAATTAAAATGCAGTGTAATTGTATGCCACCAAATTGTAGTCTAAACGATCACAGGAGGAGCACTCAGTCTGTGGGTATTTTAAATGACTTAATCCGACCCCTCTTGACTTATGTCTGTCTGTACAGTCCTGCTGACTGGGCTCATTTCACACTGTTTCATACAAATATCAAAGGAGACATGTTCCTTATTGAAGGCAAATCATTTCCAAGTGTGAAAACCCAAAAGTGCATTTTTTTTTGTTACACACCATTGCATCACCTCACAGTCTGACAACTGCTCTTGCCGTGTGGAAAAGGCAGACACAGTCAGATGTGATTCCATGTAATTCTGAGCAGGAAGATGAGCACAAGGCTTCACTCTGTTGTTGTGTCTCCTTGTTTTGACTGCAGCTCTTTACCTCTGTATTTCATAACTCATAATTATCCGTCCACATTCAGGCTGTGGAGCTGTAAACACAGGCAGCCTTCTCTTCCCATCTTTCCAAACTGGAACTTGCTTCATTCACGTTTCTCAACAATCAGGCAGAGAGAATCACAGAGTCTGACTTTGTCAAAGTCAGGAGGTGTGAGATTTTTTTTCAGCTGATATTTGTCGGTGTGTACTGTTTTCCCCGCCTATTTCTCTCTCTTTTGTTTTGTTGCATGTCCACATCTGCATGTGAGTGTAAATTACCAAAGGGAGGAAGCTGCTCAGTTCTGAGTAGACAGCCAACTGACAGGAAGAAAGGAACCACATTTGTTTGCGCAATTCTACAAAAAAATGTTATCTTTTTTCTGCAGGTGTACTTTAAATAATGTGCTTTATTTTTAGAGCTTTTTGGAAATACACTCATGCTCGCAGAAAGAGGGAACTAGAGCTTAGCAAGACCCCTCCCCTCACGTCTGCTGCCTTCTTCAGCGTCTATATCCTCTTTTGGACCCAAGTGGCCCCAGTTTTTGTTAGCTCATAGCTTTTAGTTTGTCTTCCTATCACACGCACACACCTACAGTGGGGATGACTGCCTGGACAGATGGTGCTCAGTGCTTGGAGTAGAAGCTGAGGACCAAGAAGGACAGACCCTTTGGGCATCATGGGATGCTGCAGTGTGACTCAGAGACATACTGGAGTGGATGAGGTGGGCCCCGATGAGATCGAGCTCCTGGAACTCTCTGGAGACAATTTAGGGTAAGACACAAATTAAGTTATTTCATTAATTTTATTTCTTACATTAGTTCACAAGTTAAATTTGTTAAATAATGAAACCAAAAGGCAAAAATGAAATAAATAAACAGCATAACTTGCAGAAAAAAAATGGAAATAAAAGTCTGAGTTTGTCAAATAGTAGTTGAAATCTGGCTTTTTACTCACTATAAAAAGTAAATAATAGGGCGACTGACAGCTACATGAGACTGCTAAATCTTAGCTAAAACCTTACAGTATTGGTTGAAGATAACTCAAAGTGGGAAGTGAATTTCTTAAACACACAGGTAAAGGTACAGTAAGATGGAAAATGACTCAAACCAAAGAAATAAACACAATTTAATTTAAGGTTAATCAGCAGTTAGCTTAGCAATAGCAAAGTAAGTAAAAGTTAGCAAAACTCAAGGGGCTAACTAATAAATTCTACTAGCACAACAAATATTGCAAAAATACAGTACTGATGTATTCAGCATGTTTCAAGAAAATGCTGAATATGAATCCAAAAAATTCTAAATAAATATGTAAAAGTAAAAAGACAAGGGCAAAGACAAAGAGTAACCTTATCATTAGCAGAGTTAGCTAATGTTCTAGGCTGTTGATGTTTTCATGTTTGTGATAACGTGGATGTAGCAGTATGTCTTTGTGTCTTGGTTTGTATGTGTGTGTTTATGTGTGAAAGAGGAGGAAGCAGCAACTGTCTGAGTCCTGAGCTCAGCTTCCACACCTCGGTCTGTGGTCTCCTCTGGCATGTGTCATGTCATTGTTTTTTTGGGCTGAAAATGTCAAAAACACAAAGCTGCAGAGACAGCTTGGTGCCTGGAAAAACATCTCTGTGACAGCAGGAGGCGGTCTTGTGCCCACACTGACAGGATGTGCTCTGAGACACAGAAACCTCTTGGCTCTGCGGTGTAGAAAAGGTTCTATTAAAAACCACTGAAAAGCTCGTGTATACACCTGCGGAGCAAAGTAGCTGACCAATATGATGTTTTCCCATCAGCAGACAGAAGGAGAAGAAGAAATAGGCATGGGTCAAATAAAACTGGTGCGTATTTAGTCAACAGTGAGGTGAAGAACTCAGTGACGCTGCACTGATGTGATTAACAGATTACTATAAGACGAAGACAGCAGTCTGGATGGGGGGAGGGAGGGTGGATACAAAAAATATTTATTTTACAATTTCTATACATATAAACACAAATAATAACAGTACTTATTTGTATTATAACACTTTTTCATGCTAATATTACCATTATTGTTTTTGAACAGATAAAAAAAGAATAAAAATAGTTATTATGACGTCCCTAAAAAAATTATTATTATTCCTTATCTCTAATTAAACATATACTGTAGATATCCCTTTAATACAGTATAGTCTCTGTCTGACTAATCGGAGAAGTTAGTATTATTTAGTCCTTCATCTTTGGTTTCTTCTCTAAAAAAAGTCATGATTCATTATGGATTACATGACTAAACCCTAAAGTACATGGGGAAACAGGAACTTGTAGAAAAACAAAGTTAGAGTAATTTTACAAATAATCTGTTGGCCAATCTAGTGAAAATAATCTAGTGATGGTCTGTTTTAATATACACTGGCATTAGTATCTAGTCGTAAGTACCAATGATCTGTGTGCAATTTCTTTCTCTGTCACTCATTTATTTACAGTACATTGACACAGCTCAGCACAGCAGCCATTAGCTTCTAAGAGATGTTTTTTCCAGGCACCAACAGGCATGTAGTAGTAGCTGAGCCTGGGATTAAACTCTGACCGATCACAATCTGTGTCTCTTATACATGGCTGTTAGTATTGATTTCAGTCAGAGTGGTGTCCAAACGGGTGTCCACAACCAGAATTACTAATATTTTCTTCAAATACTTGATGAAAAATTTCTATCGTTGTCAATAATATGAACAAAATCTGTCTAATGTTACTCCAGATTTACTTTAATATTTCATTTCATGACTGTAATTGTGACAGTTTGTGTTAGAAGCAGTAATGGGTCGATGTAAAGGGTTAGCAGGTGGGTCTGACTCTGACTGCTGTAATCAGATTATATCCTGCTGATGCTAATGCTGTCGCTCATAGGAGGGTTTCATATCAACTTGTTGAAATCGTTGTGTCTCTCGATGATCCTTGGTAATTAACACATTCATTGGGTCATTGGTAGCTTCAGCAGCAACAATGATATCTTCTCTCGTAATCATTTTAAGGGTCATGGAGGGTATGGAAACAAAACTACTCACATTATCTTCATAAAGAAAGTAGGTTACCACCATGATTGAACTGCTCATCTTCTACAACTACATGTCAAAAATCTTAGTATTTGTGGACATTAGGGGACTCAATCAACAAAAAGCAAAACTGATGCTTGTGTTTTGTTTTTTGTTTTTTTTTAAATTTCAGGGTTTGGAGTCTTGGAGAAACCAGACTTCAGCTGTCGGTGAGGAACAGCAAAGATGATCAGCAGCTTCAGCCACTGTCTCCACCTCCACCACCATTCTCTTCAGTGAAACATCTGGAACAAGAGGTCAGTCTGAGACTGTGTGTTTATGTGTGTCTATGTTTAATGTGCAGTCAGAGGCAGAGGTTTCAGTTACGATCTATTCACAGAACTGAGAACAACTGCCACCACATGCTGCTTTAAGATCAAACAAGGTGTAAGGAGGGCGGTGGAGGGGGCGGGTGGGAGTGGTGAGTGGTGACCTGACAGTTCCATATTTAGCTGTAATTCTGTATGTAAAGGCCAGACATATTCAGCACACACTGGGAATTTCCACAACAAAACCGATGGATGAGAGCAAGATGTTGTTCCTTGTTTGCTATGATTCAGATTTTACAGGAAATGAAGGTGGGAAGATGAAAAACAAACAACTTAAACATAACTTTTAGCACATTCCAAAAGATGAACCATCTGGACATGTGGTTGTTCCCTAAAACACTGTAGTCAAATTCATTCTTCACATTCCTCCATAAGTGTTAAGAGGAATGTATATATATATATATATATACACGTATATATACATCTGAGCTGGATTGTTGTCTAGCTATCTTTTAGCTATCTTGATATCTGTCTGTTTTTAACAGTTACTAAAAGTTACAGTTGCTATAGCTGACAGAAGATATTTTACTGTTATGTCTAATCATTTTGGCTACCCTGTGGTTAATTTGTAGATAACTCTAGTTTGTTCTTTAAAGCACAAACATATGTTTAAGTTCACAGCCCATTCTGGTCAGTTTAAAGTCTTTGTTTGCTTATTTATTTGTTTGTTTTCCTGGAATAAAATCAACAATTTGATTACAAAAAAATAAGAAAAAACCCACCAGATTAGTATCATGACAGAGGGTCTTACAGGATTTTTTTTTGTCTGTAGGTGGTGCTGTGGGGCAGGAGCAGGGATGAGTTGCATCGCAGGATTTACTCCCAGCAGCCAATCAGAGGCTGGGAGGGTCAACCTGTCCGTGTATATGGAGAAGTGGTGCACTCTTCACTGGTGTCCGTGTACAACATCTACACACAGGTAACAACAACACTGACCTCACACAGAAGTCAGAAGTCAGACAGTAGAGTTGTGACATTGTACTTAAAAAAGTTCTTATTAATCTGTAAACAACTGTTTACTGTGGGATTTAGGGGAGCTGCATTTTAAACCAAATTTTTGTTTTTTTCTTAAAAATAATTTGATTTAAAATCCATAATTTCACTAGGTAACTGCATAACAACTTAACTTGAGTTAAGGTTTATTGGATAATTCCCAAAAATATTTTGGCAAACCAGCCATTTCTGCTCATGTAACTCAATCGATGTTAAGATGTAAACACACACAGCACTGAAGATGGTATTGAAATAAATAAAGAAATGTATCATACAGAGAAACAAAAAGACGAGTCGATGAAAACTGTTGATAATGATGACGGGTCACTGAAGAAGAATAAAGAAATGACATGTCTGAGTTTCGTGATGAATCATCTTTTTTTAAAATTACAAAATAGAAACTTATCACTGTTTATCACTGTTTCTACAGGAAACCAGCAAACACTTCCTGGTGCTGTTTTCCTTTCACCTGCTGATCCTCTCCCTGGACCATTCTCTGAAGGACTTCATTTATGCAGTAATTCTGATTTCTTTTAGGTTTTTGATCTATATATTGTATTTATTTATATATTTTGCAATGATATACTGTAGCATACTGCATTAAGTCAAATGAAAGCAAACATTGTTTTGTAACACTCTTGTGAGATGCAACAAAGATGGGCCGATGTGGTCAAAGCCACTTACTCGTAACTCTTGTACTTGCAACCGTAGGTGCACGGCAGCAGTTTCAACCAGTCAGCCAGCAGGAAGTCACAGTAGAATACTCTGACAGTCAGTGGAGTTCATGATTTTGTATTTATCTTTGAATCATTTAATTTTGCAGGGCATCCTTCCCCTTTCTGGGCTGACATTAAAAACCATCTTTGAGGACTCTGACATGTCAACACCATCGGCACACATGTTTGAGATCAGCGGTAAATCCTTGTTGAGCCACCACACTGTTAAACACAGCAGGACACTGTCTTACCTCTGTGATGCTCTGTCTTTAATCCAGGGCCGATGGTGGATTCTAAAATCTTCATATGTGACAGTGCTGCAGCGTTGAAGACATGGATACAGCAAATAGAAGACAGGAGAAACAAGTCCACAGCACGTCCCACCAGTCCAATACACTCTGCCCTCGCCTATCTGGTCGATATTTTCTACTTTTGCATCGTAGATTTGCGTGAAAGTATAAATTAATTTGTATAATTTGCCTCCAGTTACCATGTGATCTGCGCTGGAAGAGAGAAGAGATGATAAAGTACTTAATCAAGGCTCCAATATGGCAGTGGGAGGGATCCCCAATACAACACATGGGTCAGGCTCTATATGTGTCAACTGTCCATGTGATCAACTCACAGAGACAGGTAATCAAAAATCATCCATCCATCTACCTACCATATATCATCTACCCATCTATGCATCCATCATCCATCCATCATCATCCATCTATCCATCATCCATCCATCATCCATCCATCCACTGCTTTATATTAAATTGCCTTTGACCTTTTGAGTTTTGCAGTGAAATTACTTATCTTTAATTTTAAAGGCTTTTTCAGAATAGTATTATTATAGCAGTATGTTACTGTGATTCATGGTTGATTTCCAAAGTAAGTATATTTTTTCCAAATTCAAACCATGAAAAGGACTTTGCTATTTGTATTTAAAGGCAAATAAATTCATTTTTATTATTTTTTGAGAAACTGTTATATGTGTCATTTGAGCATGATTAAACATGCTGCCTTTATAAGACGGTTTGTTGCATTTTTTTTCCCCAAAGGTGTGGGGTATTGGCAGTGCTTCAATCCAGTTGAGATATAGAAGGGGGTGCACGGCCAAACTAGTTTGGGAACTGACAGTTGTTGTCTTTTGTTTTCTCAGGGTCATCAGGAAAGACTGATGGTTCTCTTCCCTCAGGACGTCCTGCTGCTTTCAGTTGATGACAAGAGACTGAATATAAGATATGAGGTATGTTTGTGTCACTTCTCCTGAGTTATGTGAAAATCGAAGGTGAATGATTTTGTTGTGGAAACAGCCTTTAACAGACTTTCATAATAACAGGGCAGGTTGCCACGATACAGCATCAGAGCAGTGGAGCGGTCAGCCATGGCTGGACGCCTGGAGTTTGAGCTGACAGGTAAACTACGTAACATGTTTCTTTTATGAGGGAGCAGCATAGCCAGTCTATGTGTTATAGAGTTAACAAGATGTTATAACCTGCATATATGGGGCAATATTTTTATTTTGAAACTTTTATTTTAAGGAGGCTAACAGACATATAGGCTTATATCAAAAAGTGCTTCAGTGTTCAAGGCATTTCATCGCAGTCTTTAGTGACATCTTGTGGCCGAAAGTAGCTATAATCTTCAACTTCAAATTAACTTGCCAGGCTGCATTTAGCTTGTTGGCCTTGTATTTGACACATATGTTTTAAAGCCTCTAATAAAGTAGCAAGAGCTTTGTTTTATTTGTCTTAAATACAATTGTTCTCCACGTTCCAAAGCCCCGCCCATCCAACCAAACTGCCCAGCTGATTTAGACTGAAGCAGTTAATACCTTGATACATTTAAAGCATGAACTGTGTCAAGGCCTCGTTCGTTTCACATAACACGTGATCAATGATGTCTGAAGCCTCGTTCGGTACAAGTAAACTTAAACTTAAACTTAACTTTATTTGTCATTGTGACACAGCACAGCACAGCACACCACGCACAACGAAATTTAACCTCTGCATTTAACCCATCACCAAGTGAACAGTAAGTATTAATGTGGCCTTGTGCAATTGTGTGTTACTTTTTCACATCATTGGTCATGTGTCTCAAGCAAAACGAATGAAGCGTTGACACAATGCTTTTTGAAGCACTGTGTTGTACTGTCCAACAACAAGCTCCAGAGCTTTAGCTTCAAGGAAAATACAATGTATAAAGTCTCATTAATGCTCTTCATAGCTGTATAGTGGTCCTGTAGAACACACACTTGGCAGCTGGAGGATTTTGACTTATTTGGATTTATTTGGACATATTTTAGATGTGTGTGCTATAAAAATGGGCCATCTTGAATGAGAGTCATAATAGAGCGGTCTTTGTATAATCACTGTGTTGTGTTAGGAGACCTGGTGGAGCCTTTGCTGGTCTTCTGCTCCTGCCTGGAGGATTATGAAAAGTGGATCTTTCACTTACAGCAGGTGAGCATTTCAAGGTCAAACACAATTGAATAACTTCAACTTAGTAGAGAAGAATAAAAAAAATAGCATTTGTTTTTGTTCATTTATGAGGATTTGAACATAAAAACAGAAAGGACAGATACAACATTGTGTTTTGTAAAACTACACGCCTTATTTAGTAAAGAATTTTAAAATTTTAGCATATCTGCATGTTTTTCATCAAATGTGAGCATTTTTGACAATTTTTTTAGAAAAAAAAGGAAAAATCTTACTTTTGCGTATCATGTTGGTTAGATGGTGAAAAATTATGATGAAAATGTTTGAAAATAAAATTTCAAAATGTTAGGATATCTGCAAGACTAGGTCCTAAAACATACTG